AATCCTGTCTTGCTTAGAGTAAAGGCAGCGTCCTTGCAGTGGCGAGATTGGGCATCCCTCTCTGTGGGCTCACCTCCTACTCTAATTTCCTCACTCTGCTCCAGCCAGTCTGGCCTCCCGACTGTCCCTTGTCAAGCCCAGACCCCAGCCTACCTTAGGGCATTTCCTGTTCCCCTTACCCCAGATATCTGCAAGACTTGCTTGCTAACCTTTGCCACCTTTTTGCTCAAATGTCACCTTCCAGTGGGATTTGCCCTGACAACTTGATTAAGATGGCAACCCATCTCCTGTCTCTCTTAGTACGCTTTATTTTTTGGTAACATGTATCACTTACTAACATGTATCACTATACTATACTATATATTTACTTATTTTGCATATTCTTTGTCTACCCAGGGAAATATAAGCTCCACAAGGACAGATACTTTGTAGTTTTCCTCACTGCGGTATCCCCATTGCCTACAATAGTGCCTGCCTGGAACATAGTAGGTGCTTAATAAATCTTTAGTGAATGAAGGAATGAATATTATCCTATTTGATTTTTTTAATGGTAGCGGAGATCCACTGTATGGATGATATAATAACAGCAGCACAGTGGTGGCTGACACTCATAGGCAGGTCTGATACAGTCCTTTATGAATTTAGGTCCTTCACAAATTTACAGTCCTTTACAAATTTAGCCCTGTATGAATTCATACTCATTTAAACTTGTCAACAATCTTATGAAGTAGGTGTGCTAGTCACTCCCATGTAACAGATTACAAAATGAAGTTCAGACAGATTTATTAGCTCCCCCATAGACACACAGATAACAGGTCATGCCCATCTGGCTGCATCTCGAACCAGCACATTTAACTGCTTGTGCCAAACTGTTGCAGAACGGATGTTCCATGATTTACTTAACCAGTCTCCTACAAATGGACACCATCTTATGGTCTTCAGGCAAGGCAAACAAGGCTCAGAGATGTTAAGAAGCTTGGTTCAAAGTCACAGCTGGAATTCAAGTCCATTAGCTGAATTGGAGATCTGAATTCTCAATCACTACATTGTCTAAGCTCCTAAACTTCCTTCTCCCCCTGGAGGGTTAGAAGGGCCTACTAGGTGGCCCTTGGCAGCTTCCCCTTGGCAGTGTCCTTTCTCCCAAAGGCCTGCCCCCTATTGCAGTCCCTCTTCCAGCTCTGGAATCCTCCCCCAGGTGGCCCCAGGCCTTGGACACACAATAGCCTACTTAATCCCTTAATGGTTCACCGGCCTCCCAGAGGGAGTGTAGCTGTCTCCGGTTTTTGTTCTGGAGTTTCCCACCTTTGTACCTTTTATCTCAGAGATAAGGTCAGGGACCACCTGGAGGGATTTACCTGCCAGTTAATTTATTCAGTCCCTTTCATGGAGCACTTTTACAGGCCAGGCACTGTTAGAGGCAGTTTGGCTTCATCTGAAGCCAGACCGAACTCAGACTGGCTGCCAGTATATCTATTATTGTGTTTGGGGATACTGTGGACAAAAATGGGGTGCTGTAAGAAATCATAAATTCCTAACTGGGAGGGTCATGGTGGGTAGTCACACCCCATGCCTGTAACTCTTGAGTAAAAGGTTTACCTTCACCTTAAGCAAGTCCTGTCCATTGTGTCAGTGCATCTAAGTCAACACACCTTTGAAAATGTCTCCTTTTAGACCCCTCCTCCTAAAAAGTAACCACCTGCAAGACAGCACAGAATCTTAACTCTCCTACAGATCTTGCTCTCCTGCATGTTGTCAATTTGGCTCAAATAAAACTCTTCACAGGTTTGGGTATTTCTTACGTGGACAATACAATGGTGAGCAGAGAAAAACAGTCCCTGTGCTTAAGGGGCTGACAGTCTAGTGGTGGGACAAACGTTGTCAAGTACTCAGCCCAAGTAAAAGTCCAAGTGTGATTGGACATTGTCTCATTGTCACTGAAGGTGTGGAGCGCTAGATGGCTGAGATGCCAGGAAGAGACCCCTGGGCTGAGAGCTGGTGGATGAGTTAGTAAGCAGAAAAGAACATTCCAGAAAAAGAGACTGCATGCCTAAAGACCCTAGAGACAACAAGGACCACAAGAAGCCAGGATGGTGGGGGCAGGGTGAAGGGAACAAGGTGGAAGATGACACTGTGAGACCTTGGCCTTGTCAAGGAGTTTTGACTTTAGCTCAAGTATAGTGGGAAGCTGTTTAAGCTGGGAGGTGGGGTGGGGAGGGATGTTAATGGCGTAGCCTGATTGGCCTGATCAAATCCTATTTGCATTCTGGAGACATTTCTGGCTGAAGAGTGGTAAAAAGGCTAGCAGGGACTAGAGGGGACTCGTAAGTGGGAAAGGGTTGACGGGTTTTGTGGTCCTGAAAGAAATGGAGGTTAAGTGAATCTGAGAAATATTGGGCTCAAGGTCGTGCCTCTCCCCGGGGTCAGCCCGTACTCAAGGACTAGTTGACTGTGCGGGGCTGGGGTAGGCAAGAAGGCGCACTCCTTTGGCTAAGATGGGACAGCTCTGAAGGTTGGTTCTAGCTTTGGAATTTCCTGTGGGATGATCTAGATCTTAAAATCGATACAAATGTACAATTTCCTATTCTCAAAGGGGATGAGGCTTGAGGCCAGGACCTGCCCAGGGTTCCAGAGAAGTGTGGGTGAGTCCCTAGTCCCACCAGTGCCTGGGGAGGATCCTGCTCTACTCTGGGCAGGGGTCCCAGTGCTCAGAACCTGACCCTCTCCTCTTACCTCTCTCAGCTTCAGAAGGATGGGGAGGTGTGTGTGTGTGTGTGTGTGTGTGTGTGTGTGTGTGTACTATCTTGCCCGTGTACTTGCTCTTGTGACCTTGGGCAAATCCTCTTCCCTCTCTGGTTCCATTTCTTCATTGGTAAGACAGGAAGTTAGAGTAATCAGTTAACTTTTGGGGAAGATCGCAGAGTCTTTTAGAATTGGTTAAAAGCTATGACCATTACGTACGTAATTTCTGGTAGCTGCAGGGGTTCCTGAAGCAGGGGTCAGGTGGGGACTTAACTGGGCCTCAAGTTAGGAACCCTTGGATGAGACAGAACAAGCATCTTTTCTGAAGGCCTTCTGAGGACCAGTGTATTATCCTGTTCTAATCCTCACCTCGCTCCTTTAAGGCAAGCATTACTTTCCCCACCTGGAGACAGAATTTATGTGACTTGCCCAAGCTGGGAGGAGCTGAACTAGGACCCCTAACCAAAGCCCCGTTCTTCCCATTACAATGAGAGACATCTCTACTTTACTTCCCCTACCCCCACCACACCTCCATAACACAATACGTTTTGGACCTTATAGCCAAACTTCTGTTGCAGTTTGATATGCTCTCATGAGGCAGGGCTTACCTTGGGAGGAAAGACAGAGGACCTGAATGAAGCTCAGAGAGGCTAAGTGGCATGAAGGTCACATAGCAAGCATGATCTAGCTGAGGTGGAGGTAGTGGACATTTGTGATCACTCCTTAAGTCCCAGAGTGGACAAGCCTCACCTAGTCGTAACTTGGAAAACCAGGGGGAAGAGGGGTAGGGGCCGTCGTATGAGGGGAAGAAGGCAGGCCCCTAGGGCTGGCCCTTAAAGAATGGGCCTTAGGTTTGGTCAAGGGGAGTGTCACCACTCAATTGTTTCTTTCATTTCTGCCTCAATGCAAGCTATTCCATCTCAGGCTTGCCAAAATCTGATTTTCCAAGGCCACTTTAAATGCGTCTCCTGAAACTTTGTGTCCCCCCTCCCCCCATCCATTCTTCCTGGCCGGCCTGGGAGACATGCATTTCTCCCAAAGCCTGAGCGCTTTGAAGGCGGGTTGCTTTCCTACTGTCCCACAGTGCTTGGGCAGGGCTGGCTGGGGATGTAATTCGAGGGCTCTGAAGCTGCCGCTGACCTGCGCCCCCAAAGGAAAGCGTCTCCTGGAAGCGTTCTACCCTTAAACTTGAGGCTTCTTAGTCTTGCCCGCCCGCCCCCTCACCCTGCCTTGGTTGAAGGAGTCTCAAGAGTGTGAGTCAACGTCCTAAGCCTGGGAAGGCCCCTGGGTGTTCGTGTCCCCGCCCCAGGAACTCCCACCTTGGGCCTGGGTCTGTCTCCTCGAGAGAAAAGCAACGATCTCACTGGATGACTGTGTCCCCCCTACCTTGGGGGAGGGGCTGAATACTGCTGAGGGTACAGAAATGCTTTCGATGACTAAAACTCAGTAGCTTGATCACTCCCAAAGGACGAGCAGGAAATGCCCACACCACGACTCCACTCACCCCTTTAAAGAGTAAAACCACTTGGCAAAGGCCTCTCTAAATCCAGTCCCGCGTACTTCGCCCTCGAGCTCTACAGCCTGAGCTCGGACACAAACAAGCACCAAATCTCCAGGCTGGGAGGGCGCGGCGCCTTTAAGAGGCGGCGGGCCGCTGCCCCC